CTTTATTTATTTGTGTTATTACTTTCTGAAAACACTGTATGTCCAAGTAATGAAGTGAATTCCAAGCATGAAGAAGTTGACTTAAAATATACTACAACTTCAGGTTATTTAATAATGTACTTTGAAAATATAATTTCAATGCATTGTTACAATGATCATTTTCAACACACAGTTAAAAAATATTCATAAAATATATTTATGAAATAAGTAAAGTGCAAATAAAAATACTTATAAAAAATAAACAGAACTTTCAATTCAAGTATATTTTTGTAAAATATATTTTTAGAAAATATACTAAATTACAATTGTTTTAAAGTGTGTTAAAAGTTGTATTGTGAAAATAGACAAAAGCATGATGCTAATATACTTTTTATATATTTAAAGATACAATAAAGTATACTTTTTTTCACTAGGGACTAGCATGGTGTTAGCCTTTTTTAACATGATTAGCAAAGTTACTAGCACGTTTTTAGTATGATTAGCATGTTACTAGCATGTTGTTAGCATGATTAGCAAGTTACTAGCATTTTGTTAGCATGTTTCTAGCATAATTAGCAAATTACTAGCATGTTGTTAGCATGTTTCTATGCTAATCCAGATTAAACCAGTTGATTCAGTAAAAAAAAAAACAGCTAAGACCAGCCTGGCCTGCTAAAAAAGTGCCCAAAACCACTTTAAAACCAGCTTGGGAGACCAGCCAAAGCAGTCCTGGCATGTTTAACAAGTTGCTAGCATGTTTCTAACATGATTAGCAAGTTACTAGCATTTTGTTAACATTTTTATAGCATGATTAGCAATTCACTAGCATGTTGTTAGCATGATTAGCAAGTTCATAGCACGTTACTAGCATGGTTCTAGCATGATTAGCAGGTTACTAGCAAGGTGTTAGCCTTTTTTTTAGCATGATTAGCAAGTTTCTAGCACATTTCTAGTATGATTAGCATGTTACTAGCATGTTGTTAGCATGATTAGCAAGTTACTAGCATTTTGTTAGCATGTTTCTAACATAATTAGCAAATTACTAGCATGTTGTTAGCATGTTTCTATGCTAATCCAGATTAAACCAGTTGATTCAGTAAAAAAAAAAACAGCTAAGACCAGCCTGGCCTGCTAAAAAAGTGCCCAAAACCACTTTAAAACCAGCTTGGGAGACCAGCCAAAGCAGTCAATCAGCTTAGGCTGGTTTTAGCTGTTTTTTTCAGTAGGGAGTTGTTAAGCTTTGCTATAGCAATAGACAGCTTAAATAAACCATACATCTTATTGTATAAAAGTTTTCACCCCCTCAATGAAAGTCTATGGGATTTTAGGTGGATTTGATAGTCTGGTTTACGAAAACCATAAGCCGGATCAGTTAGAAAAGATAAAGCAACCCGAGTCAGACCAGTCTGAAGGTCTGACCCCAGTTTGGTTGTTGTAGCTTTAAAAGTCTAAGAGGAGATACATTTTAAAATTTGGTCTCTGAAGAAGAAGAAGAAGTTTAAATAGGATTTCAGTAAGTTGGCTTTTTCAAGCCAACTTAATAAATAGACTTACAATCCTAGTCTTGTGTTCTCAGGCTCTGGTGGCCATGGAGCTTGTCACACCAGGGATTCCAGCAGCAAGTTTGGTGGTCACAAGTCCAGTGTTCCTTACGCCAGAGTCTCGTCCTGTCATCGCTGCCATTCCAGAGTCTCGTCCCGTCCCATCATGGCCGTCACAGGGCAGGCGCCAGCCGAGCCCTGAAGAGGGGGCGTCTGAAATACCGAGAGGGGGCAATCACATGAATGCATATAATACTCCAAGCTAGAAAATACATATAGCTATGGTACGTTCCTTAAGTTTTAATGCATTATAATCAAACATCTTGGTGCTACAACCACAAAAACTGCAGCTAGTGAGCAACGTACAGAGCTCTGAACCTTATACATAGGTCTTAGATCATCAGATGTGTATATACACCATTTCAGAAGTTTTACTGCGAATGTGGGCATGTTACCACAACAACAACACCACCACCAAAAGCAATTTATGCCTGATTAACCCTACATGTTCATTTAACGGAATATTAAAACAACCTGACAATACTGACAACTGCGATTAATCATCAAACCTTTTTTAACATGAGCAAAATATTTAATCATACCTTTAGCCTCAGTAGAGCTGCAATCGTCTCTTCGATGAGTGAAACCTCCTCAGCAATAACTCTTTCCATTCTTTGAATTTTCTACTAAGGTCATTTTCAAAAGCCAGCTTGATTAGATTTGCTTTTCGTCTATGCAACATGCTGCATCTGTGCTCAGAAAATACATTCTTCAACGTTGAGAAAGAGTTCTCGCACATAGCAGTCGAGGCCCCAAATGTTAGTGCGTGTTTTAGGGCAGTCAGCACCACTGGCATGGCTTGGAAAACGCTGGAGTAATTTGAAAGAAGTTTGGCCAAAGTCATTTTCTCGTCCTGGCCTGTGCAAAATGTTTGCCAAAACTGACTGAACTGAGCAATGGTGAACTGAGACTCTACCATTTCGGTGTTCGTTAAATCCAGTAGGGGTTTCACTTTTCCCACATCAAAAAAGTTCTCACTTCCAGGGTCAAGTGCATCCAAAGCTTGTCATGTACTTGCTATTACGTTCACTGAAATGCACGGACATTTCTCAGAGAATGGAGTCAATAATGTTAAAAAACAGCGGCTTGCACTCCAGTTCAATGTTCGCTTCACGCTGGCCAACACTTTCATTCACAACGTAGTATTGAAGAGACTTGTTGGCCTGTTGCTGCCGTTTCGGAGGGGTAGGAACCGCATCATCTGCACTCATGCTTTCAGCCCACAGTTTCGCAAACTCTGCATCTGATCGTAGACTTTCAATGCAAGAAGAAGCGCTGTGAATGAGCCGAACTGCAGTCATTAGATCTGATTGTTCAGCTTGCAGCATCCTATTCGGTGGATCCATCAGGCCCAAAACTTTGTACATCACACATGAAAGAAATTTGAAAGTTGGTTCTGTGATGGCCTTGTGAAGTCCAACAGCTTCAAGTTTCACATCAGCACCTTTTCCTTTGGTTGCGATTTCCTTCAGAAAATCCACAAGCGTGTCGTGCAATTTCAGCACCACGGACACCGTATCAAGGTGGCCAGTCCATCATTGATCCAGCAGCCTTTTAAGCTTCTCTCCCCTATACTATGCAGCTACAGTGGGCTTTCTCAGAAATTTGTAAAGCGCATTGCAAACATCAAAAAAATCTCCAACAGTGCTCTTGAATGAAATGGCATGCACTATGACCAAATATACACGTGAAGGGGAAGGGGTGTCTCGATTCTCTTTTGGTTGGAGGGGAAGGGGTAGGGGAAGGGCCAGAT